TAGGAGGTATATTTAATACTTGTAAGAACCTAAATCAATCTTCTTGTCTTTGGTTACTACCTTGAATCCATGCAAGACTGTCTCTAATTCTTTTAATGTGATTACCCATTTCTTTTAAACCGGATTTAACTATTAAATTGATTACATGACATGCACAACATTGGTGAAAAATAGTACCGTCACCGAATAGATTTAAATCATTTTCAAAGAATTCAATTGCTTTTGTATTGGCACTAGCATTATCTAATGTTATAGCCATTACTTTATCTCTTAATCTAAATTCATCAATTACATTTAAAATTGTGTTATATATTAAATCCGCGCTATGTGATCTTAGAACACATTTAAAACCTAATATTCTCTTATCTAAATCAAATCCTTTAAAGTAATGTCCGGTTACAGCTAAATAATCTTTATTGGCAACGGCAGACCAAATATCAACGTAACGCACCCGCTAATCGAGTGTAAAAGGTTTATTAATGCATCTTTTTCTTTTTTAAATAATTTTAATAAATCTTTCCTAAGAGTAGTTTTTGAAGTTAACTGTGCATTAGGATTGTGTACAACCTTAATATATCATTGCCAATTAGGATGCTCTACAAAACTAAGTGGTTGATCTAAAGCAGCTATCATTCGCGCAACTTCCATACGATCTACTTGCGGATCGTATTTCCAAGTGGTTAGACCACCGGTTGCGCGATCAAAAGATAATTGTGTTTGGCGGAGTTCGAGTACGCTAGATTGACTAAGCTTTTGAAGACACTTTTCGGAGTGTCGTCTCAAGTGTGTGGTGCCGTGAATAGTGTCACATTGTAATTTAGATAAACAATATTTACACTGAGCTATATGTTTAGTGTTACCTTCATTATCCACCTTGTCAATTATGTCGAAATGATCCCAAACTGTCGAGGTACACTTGCATTTCCTCCTAGAGGTTGCAACACTTGCCGACATAGACGCAGACGCAGTCGCACTCGCCGCTTCTCCACGCCCACCACCACTATTGCGACCATGACCTCCAGTACGTCCACCATGGCTCGGATTAGTAGATTCCTGCGTAACAAACTCACTAGTGGGAAATTACCTTTCTTCTACATTGTGTTGGGCATCAACGGGAATACCACTATAACCAAAAGGATCCATTATAAAAAAAATAAGATGGATTTGAGAGAGAGAGAGCTTTAGGATAATGTGATAGTTTTTAGAAAAATTATGCGAGAGATTGAGAGAGATTGAGAGAAATTGAGAGAGATTGAGAGAGATTGAGAGAAATTGAGAGAGATTGAGATGGATTGAGAGAGTTTGAGTGAGAAAAATGTGTGGGGGATGAGGGGTATTTATAGGGAAATTTTGGGGTTAAAAAATGATTTTTTTTTTTTAAAAATCGGGATAAACGGCTATTTTTTATTTTCGGGCAGTTCGGGTTTTCGGGTAAAATTCAAAAAACTAGTTGTTTCGGGTAATTCGGGCAGTCGGGCAGGTTGGGTTTTCGGGCAAAAATTCAAAAAGACTAGCCGTTTTCGGGTAATTCGGGCAGTCGGGCACCTCAGGCAGTTCGGGCACCTCGGGTTTTCGGGTAGAATTCGGGCAAAATTCAAAAAAGTTAGACGTTACGTGCATTCGGGCAGTCGGGTTCGGGCACATGCCATTTTCGGGTCGGGCATGGTCGGAAAAATTCAAAAAAATTCCAGCGGACGGCGGTAAACAGCGATTAGACGGCGGCGGGCAAAAGAGAAGATGCAAAATTTGGGCAGCCCGAGCCTGAACCTGAAAATCAACTTTGGGCGGGCGGGAAATGGGCTTGCCCGCCTGAGCCCGAAAAAATTCAGGCTTCGGGCAGCCCACCGACCCAAACTTCCAGCACTGCCAGTAACAATGGATGAATTGGTCAAAAATTATTATTTTTATTTCAGCAGAACCATCATTGATTCCAGTTGACTGTGTGATTGCCTTAAAGTTTTTAAAGTTCGAAGCAAAATTCTGTTTTTTTTATTATTGTGAAAAGGGTTAATTTGATTTTTATATGTTTGGGAGTAAAAAGCAAGGAGCATATGTTTGGTTTCAATCTAACACTTGACTGTGTCGTAAGAATTAAGAATAGATCAGTTTTTTGTTTTTTTCTTGGTTACTTGGTTTTGATTGAGGTGGCATAATATAAGTTGTGGGACACCATTTGGGACGGAAAAAAGCAGACGGAGGACCCAAATTTCTTTAAATTATTTATTTTATCAATTTAAATTTAAATTTTAAATTTTATTATAATAAAAAAATTTTAAAATTAGTTACATTTATATTTTATTTATTTTACTTATATACAATAAAAAATTTAAAAAAATAATTATATTTAATTTTTTTTGTTATAGTAAAAATTTTCACGTAAAATTACATCTCAATTTAAATTAAAAATTTAAATCAATAAACTAAATAAAATTTAATTTTTTTATTATAATAAAAAATTATCACGTATCATCTCAAATTAAAAATTTGAGTCATTCTCATTAACATTCGATTCTCGAAAGGCCAACCCACACGAAGCCACGTGTTAAAGGTAGTTTGGCTTTAAAAGAGGAACAAAACTGAACAGCGAGCAAGAAGAGCAAAAGAAAAAAATAAAAAGAAAAATGACGCAAAACTACCGAGCTCTTCTTCTCATCCAGAGAATGGTGAAGAGACCGCCATTGGAGGCTCTCTCACTTTTCTACGAAACAACAACTCTCGAAGGCTTTGAACACACCCCTCAAACTATATCCTTCATCATCGATCACCTCCTATCTTCCAATTTCTCATCCCATGCGCAGTCTCTCATTGCAAAGATACTCTCCGGTCGAATCTCGTCTTCTCTCTTCACTCCCTCGTTGCTTCTCCGCCAACTAACCCAACCCCATTCGCCTCTCATATCTTCTCGCCGTTCTCTCTTCGAAGCAATCATCGTTACCCATGTTCAGTCTCAATCACCAGAAGACGCCATTTTGTATTTGACGCAGATGACGGAACAAGGCCTCGTGCCTGGATCATTTACCTTCAACAATCTGTTGAGTTTTCTCCTCAAGTCCAATCATTTCGAAAAAGCTTGGTGGGTTTTCAACGAGTTTAAGGATAGGACTGAATTGGATGAGTATAGCTTTGGGATCATGATCAAAGGTTGCTGCGAGGCTGGTGATTTGGATAGAGGATTTCGGTTTTTGGATGATTTGGAGAAAATGGGTTGGTCTCCGAATGTTGTTATGTATACTAGTTTGATTGATGGGTGCTGTAAAAATGGCGATATTGAGAGGGCAAAGAGGTTGTTTTATAAGATGGGAGAGATTGGTTTGGTTGCTAATCATTATACTTATACTGTTCTGATTCATGGGTTTTTCAGGAAAGGGCTTAAAAAAGACGGGCTTGAGCTTTTTGAGAAGATGAAGCGTGAGGGGATATTGCTTAGCACATATACTTATAATTGTTTGATTAATGAGTTTTGTAATGACGGGAAATTAAGTAGTGCCTTTGAGGTGTTTGATGAAATGCATCAACGAGGGGTTGCATGTAATGTGATCACGTACAGCATTTTAATCTGTGGATTGTGTCGAGAACAGAGAGTGGGGGAAGCTGAGAAGTTGATGCATCGAATGAAAAGTGACGGTCTTTGTCCGAGTTTGATTACATTTAACACGCTAATTGATGGGTTCTGTAATGTTGGAAACATGGAAAAGGCGTTGAGCTTATTTGAGGAATTGAAGTCGAATGGTCATTCTCCATCGTCGGCGACTTTCAATGTTCTGATTAAGGGTTTTGCTACAGCTAAGGATTTAGCAAGAATCGTTGGTTTGGTGGGGGAGATGGAAGAGAGAGGCATTTCTCCGTGTAAAGTGACATATACGATCTTAATCGATGCTTTTATTCAGTTGGACGACATGGAAAAAGCAACTAAATTGTTTTCTTCTATGGAGAAGTCTGGTTTGGTTGCTGATGTTTATGCATACGGAGTCCTTATACATGGGTTTTGCAGTAAAGGTAATATGAAGGAAGCGTTGAAGCTGTTCAAATCGATGAGCGAGAAGCGTTTGGAGCCAACAGATGTGATATACAATATGCTTATAAATGGTTACTGTAAGGAGGGTAACTCTTACAGGGCTCTGGGGTTTGTTAAAGAAATGAGGGAGAAAGGAATGTTTCCGAACATTGCTAGCTACAATTGGACGATTAGACTTCTTTGCATTGATGAAAAGTGGAGGGAAGCCACAATTCTATTGAAAGAAATGATCGTGTATGGTTTAACACCATCGGTTTCTATCTACAATTTGATCTCTAGAGCCAAAAAGGATACAATCGTGAAGCCCTAAAGCAACATATTACACCAACCCTGATGAGAGAGAGAGATTTATTTTTCATCAAAATGAAGAAAAGAAACTTACACCAACCATAATGAGAGACTAATTGGTCTCTTAATATGATTGAGGCAAAGGTGCCGTTGTCAAGAGGAGGTAATAACTGTGTTCATTCGGCGATTTTTTTTCCCGCCATTAGTCTATAGCTTCAGAAAGTTATTGAATTAAAGTACTTGCAGAAATAAAAGTTAGCCATTATAAATTTATCTGGTTGTGAGGCCCTTTTAATATTGTTTCACGTACAGAAGAGCACAGGTTGCTAGTTTTGCTTGGAGCAGCCAAGAGAAAACACAGAAAATTGGAGATAATCACATTTCGCTAAAGCGGCATTTAAAGTTCCCTTCTCTTTTTGATCTCTTCTAACCTACTTGCTGATTTAATTTCTCCTATACCTCTTGCCTTTACTTTGCAACGGATTACTGTGGTGAAAACTATATCTGGAGTTATTATTGTTTCAAAGGTGTCAACGCCTAGCAATTTTACTACCAGCTATTGCCATTGTGTGAAATTAGTACGTATAATTGCTGGAGAAAGTAGCTCAAGAAAGCTTTAAGGACCTGAGGTGATCTCGACAACTTTTTTTTTTTTTTTTTTCATTTATTGTTCTGCACTAAACTTTTGGTTAACTAGCTAAAGTACACTAGTTCCCTTTTTCTTTTTTTTTTTTTGAGGGAAATGTTTTTTTTTTTCTTTTGAAATTCAATGTAACTTCCATTTTGATAACATAAATCATAAGTTTGGTTGTAAGGAATCTTCGATTTGCAAAACACATACGTGTTCATCCAAGAACCAGGAATTTAAAAGTCCTTTTTTTTTTTTTTTTTTTTTGTTTTATAGGTTTCGACACCCAAAAGAGAGAGGCAAAAAACAAAAAAACAAAAAAAATAAAATAAAATAAAGTCCTCTTAACCGAAAACGGGATTCAAATCCTGTCTAATTGTTCCGGTTGGTGTTCAACTAATTAAATTATATTATATCATCTTATGATAAATACAAATAATTAATTAAAAATTAATTTAAATTTTTTACATGACGTTGTATGATATGATTGGTTAAATATTAAGGTCTCATTTATTTCACCGATTTGAGTTTTTAGTTTTAAATTTTTACAGTTAAAAGTTTTTAAAAAATGTCATATTTAATTTTTTTTACTACAATTAAAAGTTCTCAAAAAATATCATATCTCAATTCAAATTAAAAACTTAAATTTATAAAACAAATGAGACCTAAAATTAAACAGGGGATTTGAGTCCCTAAAAGGACGCTTCTTTTTCATTTGTGAAAGTAAAACAACAGGTGGAAATATCTTCGAGAAGGATATCGAGTACATTCCTCATCCTATGTTTAAGATAGAGTAATTTGTTATTTAATTCATCGTTTGTGAAAATAAAACAACAGGTGAGGATCTTTTTTCTTTAATTCATCCATTTAGTTTTGTATTATTATCTTTTAGTTTTGCCCTTCTGAAATTAATACCGTTGAGAAAAATACACGTTTCCTTTGTTTTTTTGTTTTTTTATTGAAATAATAAGCTTTACTAATTCGGCAGATCGTGTTTGATTTGAAATAAAACCTCACATTTAAATTTATGTCACGAATATTTAAATTTTAAAGTTGGCCAACACAAATAGATTCTTCAAAAATTAACAAAAGGTGACATAACTATGAATCGTAAAAATATTATTGCATAAATTAAAAAATATATAAAAATTATGGCATGTTACCTAATCTTCTGTTGGCATAAAATAGCAATGAATTCTTTAAGATTAAAAGAAAATGAAGTGTTTTTTTTTTTTTCGTTTTTTTTTTGTTTGTTTTGGGTTTGGCTAAAGAAAATTAAAAATAGCCAAAACAAAAAATGATGTTTAATGGAAGCATTGGATTGCATCTGCAAGAAGAGTAAATGAGGTTTAATGAAAGCAAAACGTTCAACCATATATATAATATAAGCAAAGAAAAGGTCCCAAAACAATTTAAACGACATCATTAACGAATCTCAGCTACAAAATAGAACTAATTAATGTCACTAAGTTCACACACATACACACATATATATATATATAATTTTTATTTGGTTAAAAGTAAAAATCGTTAATCTATTTGCCACGGCGATCGAGGCCGCGACAAATGTAAAATCGGACGGACTTGCTCTAAAACAGAATGTTCCCGTTGAACTTCTGTTGTACCTTTGGAGAATAGTTTCCGCTTTTCTCGCACGAACCCAAAGGAGACCTCCAAAACCCAGCCTCCCATGTCGGCTACGGCGACGTCGGCCCAAAATCCCGGCCCGAATACGCCCAAATCGGACTCTGATCGCCTCGCCGCCAGCTTGCCTCCCGATCCGCTCCTCCGCTCCGGCTCCTTCATCGACGCCTCCACCGCCACCGGCAACGGCGGAAGCTCATTCGATGACAGGAAGTCCCAGAAATTGTTTCCCCAGACGCCGGAGTCTCGCCGATCTTCCGGCGGCGCGCTGGCTCCGTGTTCAGAGAGTCCGAATCGGGGGAAGAGGAAGCCGCCGGAGGCGGAGCTGGATTGGTTGCCGCGGGGATGGACCGTTGAAGATAAAGTGCGGAGCTCCGGCGCCACTGCTGGTTCCAAGGATAGGGTGAGTTTGGACGGTAGTCCAAAAATCAAACTGTGTGGTTTTATTTATTTATTAGTTTATTTATTTAATTTTGAGAATATTAAATAGAACTGTGTTTGTTGGATGTTTGATTGGCTGCTGGGAAAAAGGACCTGAAAATAGAATAGCATTACTCTTTCCAAAGTGCTGTTTGGAAGAAGTTTTGGAGTTTCTGAAAACAGTGGAAAATAGTTGAGCTAGGCTACTTTAAATAAGAATGGGAAGCCTTACTTTCTGTAATCAATGTCAAAGGAAGCTATTTAAGTTTGAGTTTTGTTGTTTTTCTGTTTCTTGTTGCTCTAGGTTTGTCTTTCTGAGTTTCGGCAATGTTTGTGAATTTCTTAATGAGCTAGGCTTGTGTGTTATTTTCGTTTGTTCATAGGAGGTTTGATGCTTGATATTGTTATCCTGTTTTGTGAACGTTTTGAGTTCGTTTGAGTGCCGTTAAGAAACTATGAAATTCTCGAGAAAAAGGATTAGTTTATTCCCTTTTATGCGTCTATGTTTTATTGCAGTTGCACAAGTTCCATCACTTGCGCACACGCTTCGTCACGTTTCTGTTATCATCCCTTGGCTTGTTTTAGTGGCAGGAGAATTTACTGTCAAATTAAATAGCTGTGCATAGTCATCTATATCAATGGCAGTTTTTAAAGAATATACTCCACACTATAAGGTTATATTAAGTTCATGAAGTAGGATCAATTTTTATGGTAGCAGTGTACGCTTCACGTCCTTCTTTCTCATGAAGGTTTGGGATTTTTAGTATTACCTTCTCTTTGAGTAGAAACTGTATGGTTAGGAAGATTTGAAATGGGTGAGACTGCTTCACGTCCTTCTTTCTCATGAAGGTTTGGGATTTTTAGTATTACTTTCTCTTTGAGTAGAAACTGTATGGTTAGGAAGATTTGAAATAGGTGAGACTAGACCGACGTGTAGCTTGATCCGTGGAGGGGATTCTATTGCTAAGACTCTCCATCTTTGCAGATGATGATTTTCTGACTCATTGCATTTTCTCCTATTTTAGAATTTCAACCTTTACACTAATGTCCTCTATCCCTGTCAGTTAGCAAAATTTCTTTCTTGAATATCTTAGTAGAAGATCTCACTGGTCTGTCACTGATTTCCTCTAGCTCATCCTTCTAAACTAAATCACCAGTTCGGTGTATGGCTCACCACTTCAGTTAAACCAAAGTAAAAAAAAATTTATGCATTTAAGCTCCTTGCTTTTTCTGGTGAAGAACAGTATAACGGATAGATCCAACATAGTGCTTATTTCTTTTCCTTAAAGTTGAGACAAAAGCTCGTGGTCAGTCCCATATGATATTGGTCAAGTGTGCGTGTGACACTCATTCAATTAGGCTTGCAGTACATATCCTTGTACCTTGTTTTTCAGATCCCTATAATTTATCTGTTTCATTCCCAAATAAGATGATAAGCTCGGTCTAACATGTTTAGAAATTCGTCACATTGACTTGGTGATGTTAAGATAGGCACATAGATGTTACTTGTCTGCAAAAAGAGTTGTCCCAACACGTTGCATACAATTAAACAAAGATGTACGTCGAATTTAATGGCAAATAAACAAATGAGGTTCACAAAGCATTCATATTTTCACATCATCTTTACATGCTAAGAAAGTAGATCGAATATTTGTCTGTTTGAGTTATAGTGTGACGTCTGAAATAAGACAATGATGTTTTGTTTTGGGCATGCGGAGTTTATTTTTTCTTGAACGCACACGAACTAGTATGAATATCGAAGGAATTTCCATGACAATCTTCCGCATCAACTGTTTGATCTCATACATGTTAGCATACAGTGCTAGGTAATGGGCGTAAAAATATTACAGAAACAGAAAAGATGACAAGACTTCTTCCTGATAAGAGTTCAATTGTGCATCTCTGTTGCAGTACTATTTTGATCCAGTCTCAGGCCTTAAATTTCGGTCAAAGAAAGAGGTTCTCTACTTTCTGGAAACAGGAATTCGACGCAAACATAAAAAAACAACAGAAATTTCAGACGCTGAGATAACTGTGAGTCAGAATCTAAATCTTATTTGGTTTGAAGCTGATCATCTAAGTTCTCCCTCTTCATTTTACTTTCTCCTAGTGTTTCCATAACATAACATAAATACATTTTTTTTCATATCAGCCGATGGACAGCTCTGGGGAACAGAAACAGAATTCTAGTACAAGTAAAAAGGGTTCTGCTCTAAACTTCAACTTCTCCCGTGTGCCTGAGAAGGTCAAATGGGTTCTCTCAGATTCTTCCGGAGAGTCCTGGAATGCTTTTATCGGTGATAACCAAGTGCCGGAGTCTAGTACTCGAGATTGGTTAGCAGCATTCACATTCCTCGCATCAAGAGACAGAGGAAGATACCATTGACGCCATTTTCATACTTTGAACGGTGTTTTTACATTGTAATACTCACCAGCAATAGGTTCTCTCTTTTTGTTTCCCCCACTGCAAATATGAAATAGCTGCATTTCTGGCCAATAATAGGGTCTTCATTTTTGCTTTTTCTTTCTTCTGCTAGGTCCTTTTGGCACTTAAATTATTTTGAATTTGGTCCATATCACAGCCAAGCGCACAACTATTTAATGCTATTTTGGTATTTTGTTATGATAGGTCTCATAAGGCATGATTCATAATCTCTTATTTTGTTTCTTCATTACATGTGCAAGTCGTGGCATGAAATGTACCGATCTCTTGGTTTGTATACTTTTTGCAGTTTAATATTGTAACAAAATGTTCTACTGACAAAAGCAAAGCTGTATCATTGAATTTCACGTGTGTAGAAACAACTTTTCTGCTGTTGGTTACAAAAACAAATTGATATGGTATGAATGGGTTTGTCAATTGTGGTCTATTCAAGTGTTGAGTGAGCATTTTTCTAAGCCGGTATTCTTATGAAAGGTTCAAGTTAAATACAATGTTTAGTTTTGTATTATTTGAAATCAAGTAGTCTTTTGATGTTAAAAAAAAGAAAAAGAAAAAGAAAAAGAAATTAAGCAGTCTTTCACATAGTTAATCTTAAAAAAAAAAAAAATTCACTCCTAATGTTAGCAATATTGGCGAATGAGGTTACAAATAAAAATACAGAATCGCGTTAGTATAAACTTAGATTTTATCTAACTTTATGAAATTAAGTAGCTAAAAGCATATAAAGAAGGAAAATTATCATTTTGATACATTTTAAGTTTTTACTTTATCATATTAGATTTTGATACATTGTAAGGTCATTCTTGAGACTAGCAAGGTGACTGCAAAATCTTATAGTGCGTAACAAAAGGCATAAATCTTTATGCTCAGAGAAAAGGAGATAAAAACCCTCTTAAATTGTATGGGTTTTTACTCTTTATTTTTTATTAATATTGTAATCAAAATGGTATAATTAAGAGTAAGAGGTTTATATTATGCACTTAAAAGGGCAACTTCAGTAATTTACTCAAACTTGCTTTTCTAGGCCTCAATATCAATCGGCCCACGTAATTTAATGACGTTTTTTCGGCCCAGCCCTTTACGTTTTCTTTTTATCGATTTGAGTTTTTAATTAGAATTTAAATGTAACTTTATATTAAAATTTTTAACTGTAATAAAAAAAAGAAAATGGTAGAAAATAGGCCAATATGAAAAACTTAAGAAAGTATATAGGCCAATTTTTAGTTATAGAAATTAATAGGCCATAACTTGTCAAGTTATAGTTCATAACCAGATAAGTTATAGATAAACTTATCAAGTTATGGTTCATAACCAGACAAGTTATGGATAAAAACTGGATTATGGACAATAATTTGTCAAGTTATGATTCATAACCAGACAAGTTATGGACAAAAACAGTAATTTGGCCTATTTATTAACTTATATAAATTATTGGCCTATTAATTTTAATTTATCTCAAGTCTTGGTCTATTTTTCTCTTTCTTCTTTAAAAAAATGTGAATTTTTGTAAGAATTTTTAACTGTAGTAAAATTAAAATGAAAAATTCGAATAGGTGAGGTTAGGATCTACTCGTTCACTTCACTGATTCGAGTTTAGAATTCGAGTTGAGATGTGATTTTATGTGAGAGCTTTTTACTGTAGTAAAAAAGTTAAATGTGATTGTTTGTGAGAGCTTTTTACTGTAAAAAAACTCAAATTCTAAACTCGAATCAAGGCTGAAAACCTAAGGGGCTGGGCGAGGAAACGTCGTTAAATTACGTGGGCCGATTGGTATTGAGGCCTAGAAAAACAAGTTTTGAGTGATCAAAGTTCTTCGGATTTCGGACATGTTCGCGACTCGGTGGCAGTCTGGAAGCGTGCATTTACTTTGATTCGTCTGGATTTTCTCTCGAATTAATTAGCTGAGAAAATGGTCAGGAAATTCTTCGTCGGTGGCAACTGGAAATGTGTAAGTTCTAATTCCACTCTAATAATCATCATATTTCTGTCTAATTCTCTGCTATTATTTTCTTCATATTAAATTCTAATTGTATTGAAGTTTCGAAGGATAGTGATCTTTAAAACATTTCTGGGTTTTGAACTCATAAATCATGATCATGAAAAGTATCTGATTTATATATCGCATGTTTATACTTACTTTTGGTTTGGGTTTAACTTTGTGACAGAACGGGACAATAGAAGAGGTGAAAAGGATCGTGGCCTTTTTAAATGAGGCTGAAGTCCCACCGGAAGATGTTGTTGGTAAGTAATCGATAAGTTCATTGTCGTTTATCAAGTTATATATGTAACATTACTGCTGTGATTGCATATATATATACATATATAACTTCTGGGTTTTTTCTTTTTCCTTTTTGTAATAATTAATAATGCAGAGTTGTATTTTTGCTTTTACTGCAGAGGTTGTCGTGAGTCCACCATTTGTGTTTCTTCCTCTGGTGAAGAGCTTACTGCGGTCTGACTTTCAGGTTGCTGCTCAGAACTGTTGGGTTCGCAAGGGTGGTGCTTTTACTGGAGAAATTAGGTCTGTCTTTTGTGGTTTTCATTTGCTTATGTCTTTTCTGTTTTCTGTGTAAGCTTTCTACCGCTAACATAATTTTGAATTAGGTAATTTTTATTTTTCAGTCTTAAACTATCATTTATGAAAGTTTAATATTTTTGTATTTAAATTTTTAATTGTCTTATTGAGAAGTCTTCAAGTAGCAGTTTAAAGTTAATTTGAGTGTTGATTCGAGGAAACTTTTTCCCTTTTCATTTTCTTTGCCTTTTTATCATGCCGAAGCTTAACAAATAACACCTTGTTCAATTGCCGTGTTATTGGCCCGGAAATTTGAATTTGCATATCTGTTTTGCGCAGTGCTGAGATGCTAGTCAATTTGGGCATCCCTTGGGTCATTCTTGGTCATTCTGAAAGAAGACTTCTTTTAAACGAGTCAAATGAGGTGAGAAGGGGAGCACCCCCAAAGTTGTCTTCCGTTTCTATCAAGTAAGAGTGTAGATAAACAATTTTTAGTCATTTTGCTAGTACTTGGCGTCGAATGTGATGTTTACAACTATCTTCCAATGCTTGTACATTCAGTTTGTTGGAGACAAAGTTGCATATGCTCTCTCTCGAGGCTTGAAAGTTATTGCTTGTGTTGGAGAGACTTTAGAACAACGAGAATCAGGGTCTACAATGGCTGTTGTTGCTGCACAAACACAATCAATTGCTGGTGCTTTTTTTTTTCTTGCTTCAACGGGTCTCAAGAAGCATTTTTTGTTGCAACTGTTTTGGTCTTGGACGTTCTTACTCTTGTTTATGGTTTTGCAAAGTTGCTAAACTTTACATTGTCTTGTTGTTTCCTCTATTGCTGCACTATATGTCTACCGATTGAATTATTTTTTCCTGCTTTTGCAGATAAAGTTCTAAACTGGGATAATATTGTTTTGGCTTACGAGCCAGTTTGGGCCATTGGAACTGGGAAGGTCGCAACCCCTGCTCAGGCTCAAGAAGTAAGGATCAAACCTTACTTCTGTTTTGTTGGCAAGGATCCTCATTGCTGCAAATATGCTACCTTTTTAGTTTTTTAGAATTCAATTTTGCTTATATTTTTTTGGTAATGGTCGCAATATATTGCATTCTTACCTGTGAGAAACAGAGGAGAAGTTGGCAATATTGGCTAGACCAGTTTCTCTGGCCAATGAATTGTATATATTGCCAATGACGGGTTACAAAGTTGTCATGTTGTAGGTATACATGATGATTTATACTTGATATTTCACCCTTCCTGGCGTCGATGGATGATATTGCATCTCTAATGCGCTTATAATGATGTTTTTCTTCTTCTTCTACAGGTTCATTCTGAGTTGAGGAAATGGCTTCACGACAATGCTGGTGTTGAAGTAGCTTCCTCGACCAGAATCATCTATGGAGGTAATTTATCTTCTGTTTGCTGTAGAACTTTACATTTCACACCATAGTGCTCAGTAAATCAATAAAAAATGTCATGTTCTTAATAAGTTTAGTTTAGTGACTTATTTATTTATTTATCTATTCCTGGTTTTTGTACACTTTTTGTTTACACGACTTTCAATTTTAGGTTCGGTGAATGGAACAAACTGCAGAGAGCTGGCAAAACAACTAGATATTGATGGATTCTTGGTTGGAGGAGCTTCCCTAAAGGTGATTGTTTTTCTCTGTGCCTTGTCTATTTGGTTTATTGCATTCGTCTCCCTCACTAATTCTCTACAGCGAATTTCTTTTCCCAGCCGGAGTTTATCGACATTATCAAGTCAGTGTAGCCAAATTAGATAGTTGTATATGCCCTTTTGGCATCTTCCTTAAATGCTTTTGAAAAAAAAACTCGAGTTCTAATTTTGTACTTGCGCTTTGCTCTTTGTACTGGATATACTATTTCCCATTTTCCCTGTTAAATGTAGACCTCGTTCATTTCACCAATTCGAGTTTTGTTACAGTAAAAAGAGTCATATTTAACTTTTTTGCTACAGTAAAAAATTCACATAAAGTCACATCTCAACTCAAATCAACAAACTAAACGGGCCCGTAATAATTCGATAGATCGTCTTCTTTTTTTTTTTTTTTTTTTTTTTTTTCAAAAAGACAATTCTCTTCTAATTGAATCAAGATTTTTAGCCACGGGATTGCATCAGCATGACCCTTGTAGTGCTCGAGTTCGTATGCCCGTCGGGGGTTTATGGTAGTCTAATGTGGTAGGGTTCTATTTTGAACGGTCACATTTATGTTAGGTTTTGTAAACCTTACCTTACCACGGAAAGCTTCTCTATTTTAACGCCAGAAAGTGAAAATCATAGATGTTGATTCTTCTTATCAGTCTCGTAGAGATGAGTTCTACACAACATGACTTAATGTGATGTATAATTACTGTGGAATGAAATAACATGGCTTTTTCTCAAGCTTTAATGCGCACAAGAAAGTGTTTGATTCAGTTCGTCGTTATTTTCTTGCTAATTTATTAGAGAACGAGAGGGAATGTTTAAGTGGAACTTTAAAACTACTTTAGTAGGGACTTGTAATTGGAACTTATACCTGCAGCCCCAGTTCGGACTGAAGTCCAAACCACACTTTTATGTGATCTTAACAACGGTTTTAGGATAGCATGATAAGAGTGTTTAAAACATCAAGATACCACCAAAGTTATTTAAAGAAAAAATAAATTGGGTATCAAAATGATTTTTTATTAAGGGAGTTTTTCTTGTAAGATAATTCTATCAGCAATGTTAGTTTATGAATATTTGATGTGGGTAAAATCACATTAGATTAAAAAAAATATGTATAACAGTCAATTTTAAATATAATTTTAACGGTTAAAAGTAAAGAATTATCGAAAGTTTATTTTTTTTAATCTGATCAAAAAAACTCTTTTTTTTATTTTTATAATTTATATTTTAAGATTTTTTACTGTAGATCTTTCATTATAAGGTAAGTTTTTAATCGTTTAATTAAAACATAATAAATAATTTTTTATATAAATCTAATAATTAAAAAATAAATAACTATAGTAGTTCATTTTTTTCTCGAAAATTCCCTGATATTTTTGCGGAAACTTTCTCGAAGGTATGGGTGGCCACTCTTTTGCGGTTTAGCTGCCACCTGCAGAGGTGTGGTGTACTAAGATTATCAACACAATACACGTAGTACAGACAAAGAGACCATCTTCTCATCCTTTCTCTTGGAAATGTTAAATTAATCATGTAGTGAGCAGCGACAGTCCCCCATACGTGGGCAGACATAAAAAATGATCGATACTTTCTCCCTCCTCCTCTTTTTTTTTTTTTTTTTTTTTAACCTCCAGTCCACGAAAGATTAAAAACTTAATCTTATTTATTTCATCTATTCGAATTTTGTTAGAGTAAAAAAAATTTTAAAACAGTCGTATTTAATTTTTTTATTACGATAAAATTTTCATATAAAGTCACATTTTAATTTAAATTAAAATTTATAGACGAGTTTTTATTCAACATATTTCCAAGTTAACACATGGCTAAGTGTGATAATTTTGGAGAATGCTTGACGGTTTTCTTTTTGTTTTTTCTTCAGTATAAATGTTTGAACATGCTTTAAATGGTAATTTAGGCCCGCAGTTGACGATAAAGCCATCTAAAAGTTTTTTCTTTTTTCCTGTTAATTCTTTAATCATGTATGTAATCGTTATCCATTGACATAACCACGGCATACGGGTTCAGTGAACAGGTATTTTTTTGTTGAATTTAGTGATGTTACTTGGACTCTTCTTTCATAATATATAGTTATTATAATTAGAATGATGCAGGACATCAAAGCAAAATATATAATAAGGTTCAGAATAACTAAAAAAAAAAAAAAAACACGTATTCCTCTGTCTCTTTCTTCTTTTTTTTTTTTGGGTCCATTATATGTATATGGTCAGGAATCGTATTCCTTCCATGCGGACACGACATATGAAGATGAAGATAGACAATGTTGGTAGTTTATGTAGTTTCCATATTATATAGAACGAGACAAAGCATTATTGCGAATGAAAAGATTGAAACCTATAAGATCAATTATAATAATTGTAAACATACGTACATACAAACACAGCTATTTTTTTTAGGGAAAAAAAATATTATCTTTGTTTTTTAATTAATATAAAGTGTTGATCAAGACCAATGGGGCTCTTACTACGCCAAATGACAATGACCTTGCCACTAGACAATAGCTCATGAGCCGCGCCCAACTTGTTTAGACAAATAAAAATGGGACAATGTTTTACATTTCTATTTACTACCCAGACATTTGGCAGATATCAGTCATTTATGGATCATACAGGTGTTGAGAGAGGCATGAAACTCGGAGAGAGAAAGGGCGCAATGAAAGAAAAAGTAATCGCTTTTCCACTAATCCAGGCATCTTCCCTAATAAAAAAAAAAGATCTTTTTTTTTTTTTTTTTTTTTTTTTTTTAAATTTTTTTTTTTTTTTTTTTTTTTTTTTTTTCAGATTTTCGTTATATACCTGATCAAACAGCCAGAACCATGGAAGGACCAAAACAATAAACAAAACGCAAACGATAAAGTAATTCTGGTTATGAAAATTAAGAAGACAAATTTTAGCGAGAAAAATTAGATAGAGTTTCGTTAATTTCGTAAAGATATATAAAATAAAAAATTTTAGAACTCTATTTAGAAAAAAATTTATGGTACTATTTATAGTTATTATTTACACAGTACTTACTATTTATTGTTATTATTTACACAGTAAAATTCTGACATAACAATAACTTTAACTAACTTATATAGTAACTTTGATTGAGGTGGACAGCTATTATTCATAGCACTCATTCTTAGATGTTCACCATTCATAATGCCTCATTAAAACTCTTGCTAGGAAAAATCTAGTGGGATAAAAACCATAGTAAAAGGAAAAAGAGTACATCATTTATCTATACGTATTTATGCTGCCTCGTTAAAAATCTTATGAGTAAAACCCAATAGAATAAAATCATAATAAGAGAAAAAGAGTACAGCCACGTAAACTCTCCCTCAAGTTAATATGTATAGGCCTTCTTCATAAAGATGGGTTATCACTAATAGTCTTATCTGTAAAGTCATCTGTTAACTCTAAGACATCAAGATGGGTTGAGTCATTTATAGGATCGTGGTGTTCATTAAAATTTACTTCGTTTTCTTTCTCCTTTAAGGATGCCTTGTAAAGTTTACAAAAATGTTTTGGTGTTCAACAAATTCTAGACCAATGTCCTTTAGTACCGCATCTATAATAGGAATTTTCAGGATTCTTGGAACAACTTGCATCATCATCTTTTCTTTTGTCATGACGCTTCTTATGGATCACTTCATTTTGTAAAGGGTTGTAATAACCACTTCTATCACGTCCTTGACCATGACCACGATTTTGTCCCTGTCCTGAATTTTTAGATAATGCATCATTTACTTTTAGAAATGTTGCTGAACTAGTGGGACGAGACTGATGATTTTTAATCAACAATTCATTGTCTTTCTCTGCCATAAGAAAAGCTGAGATTAGCTCATAAAATTTCTTATAATCACGCAAACGGTATTTTTGTTGCATGGTAATGTGAGATGCATGAAAAGTTGAGTAGCTTTTCTCTAGCATTTCACCATCTGTGATATTTACTCTACAAAATTTCAGTTGCGAAACAATTCTAAACATGGCAGAGTTATAGTCGTTGACTTTCTTAAAATCCTGTCGCGAGTGGCGGGAAGTACGACTTCTTTTTTGTGGTTGTATCTCTCCTTCAGACTTTTCTAAAAGATAAGTGGATTTTTAACCGTGAGATATTCGCATTTCAAGCCTTCATCAAGATGTTTACGAAGGAAAATCATTGCTTGCGTCTTTTCTTGTGGTAACTTGTTATTATTTTCTTTAATGGTATTGGTTAGACCCATTGACTCTAGGTGCATTTCTACATCTATGATCCAAGACATATAATTATTTTAAGACATAATTATTTCTCGTGATGTCGAGTGCACAAACTCAAGTTTGGCAAGATTCAACATGGTGATAACTATAATAGAACATCGATATAATAAGAATCACAATATTATTATTACAATAAAGATTACAATTAAAATTACATGTTAATCAATAGTAATAAATGAAAGGAGAAATATTACAAGTACGAGTATTGTAAGGAAAAATTGAAAATCGTGTGGAGAATGATCTATAATAAAAGGAGTAGAAATACAGAAAATGACTACTAAAATAACAAACATCATCATCATATTCACCATATCGTGAAGATTATATTAAGAACATTGAAGAGAAGATGATAAGTAAAAGATAAAAATATTAAGAAGGGGGAAAAAGAAGATGAGAAGTGAATATTATGGGTTCAGAAAAATCACATTTTATAGTGTAAAAAAACTAGCCTATTATAGTCATTAATAGTGGTGTAAAAATACGTTATATTACCGTTAAAAGTGAAAGAAAAATTACAATTGTATACCTCAAATCATGTAGAAAATAAATAGATGAGAATAACAATATGCATGCAGAAAGTACAATGAGAAATTATTACCTACAAGTGGTATAGCCACGCCAAACTACTCGATAGACCTTTCAAATGGTGTATAACGATAAAATTATAAAAATTATAATACGTTGATGCCATAACCCTCATTTGTATGAATATAAAATAATAAAGTATATTTACATACCTTTCACTTGAATTAATAAGGGTAGAAACTTGTAGTAGGACTAAGGCTATGACTTACTTTCTTGATTTTAAGGTAGATGTTTGTAATTGGATCAGAGCCTCATTTCTTTGAATTAATGAATGTAGACAATCGCAATAGGAATAAAACGTTCGTGCTGATAACGTGTTATGAAAACTAAAAAAATGCTACACTAAAAAGAAAAACTTTAGAGAGAAAAAAATTTTCATTAATCTTATAAAAGTATACAAAATAAAGAGCCTTAG